TTAATAGTACTCTTTCTTCTAATCAAAATAATAAAGAAAAAAAATTAAATAATCTGAAAGATGTTTTATTAGCCTTTGATATCAGTTCGAAATCTAATCGAAAAAGAAATACTATCAACAATTAAAACATCATAATAATAATATTAAATATGTACAATTCACGTATATAAATTAATAACTTCATTTACAATTTTCAACAATTTTCAATTTATTTAAAATTCTAGTTTATACATTTCAATGTAATTTGTACATGCATAAAGAAAACAAGAATAAGAATATTGTTCAACAAATGTTTGTTTGGGAAAGTATATGAGAAATTACTGTGAATTCATATTTTGCAATGCTTTAGCTTTTTAAAGATATATTTAAAAATAAATGCCATATTGTTATGTTGCATTTTAAATAAATAACACTAATAAAATAATTAGGTAAAGATCTTTACCTGTGTCATAATATTTAACATTTACAGTAGTTTCTAAACATATAATATTAAAATTACAAAAATAGATATTTACAGATACTTATATAAATCAAATATAAGAATATTCATATAAATTATAATTGTTCTTAGCTATCATATATATTTTACATATGAGGGCAAGTTATGGAATTCCATTTTACTAAAAACAAAATAAAAATTTTAAAATACTATGTACAATAGCTTTGACGATTTAGATTAAATTAGAGATATTTGGTAGAAAAAAAACTTATTGCAGTTTTAACAATTTGGTTGATGTTTCGGATATTGAAGGTTTTTTCAATAAATAATTTTTGATATTTTGAAACGGCGTGTCAACAAGTAAGGTGAGACTTATTGATGATATAACAATCAATAAAAATTCATGTAGATTGAACTGTAAGAAAATATGTATGTAATACTACAATACCTTATTTAATAACTATGTATACATATATTTTCTAACTTACTTGCATGCTAAAAAATTCAAAATGTTCAGCACTTCGTGTTCTTCCAACGTTATAAAAGTATATCGGAAACTGTGTTAAATATATTGCATAACTTAGCCGCGTAGTTATCAGAAATCCTCTCCATGCTAAAAATCTACTGAACCAGCCTAAAATTGTATATAAATTTCAATTCATTTGTAATTAAATAATTATGTGAACATTATTTTTATCGCAAAAATAGTGCTTACCATTTGTATTTCCAGTATGATGTAACACAGTTACCCAAGCAAAAATGGCACACCAACCGATAGGAGCAAATGCATTATACATTGCCGCATCTATTGGATTATATACATAATTTATAGATCCCATATATGCAGGTCCAAAAAATGCACAACAAAACATTATTGTACAGAGGACCCAACCTATATATAGAACTACCTAAAAAAAAATATATATATATAAGTAGTCAAATAGAAAGTAATATTATATCGATATTTACAGATTATTGTAGGTATGTTACTTACTTTGTTTATCTTGTAAACTCTAGGTAAATATCTCAACAAATATCCCATAAAAATTCCTATTATATAAACTGTCAGTCTATGCGATGGTAGGGTATACGAAAAATTTGCAGTATCGAATAATTGTTTTATTCTGTAAATATATACGAATGGATTGTAAAAAATAGGTATATTTACAAAGAATTTTATGTTCAATGTAATTCAAAATTTTTAATTTATTAACTTACGATGTACCGAAAAAAACATAATTATTTAATTGCTTGTAATATGTTACAAAATATCGAAGTGCCGTTGAAAATAAGGCACATATAGTAAGAACAATAGTTCCAGTCTTTGGTTTCTTGTAAAGGAAAAGCACCATTATAGGTGAAAAAATGAATAATTGAGTATCAATACCTAAGTGATGAGTGTGTGTGAGACACTAAAATTGGAAAAGGACATTTTAGAAAGTATCTGTTACAACAATAGTTGATCTTATAAAGTTCAATGTAAAATGCATACCATAGATTCAAACCCAAAGTAATTATGAATGAATAGAAAATTTCTCCACCATGTCCTTTTGCAAATATTTGCATGTTCAGTTACCACCAAGTTCCATTGTGGTCCAGAACCAATATACGGTATTATGTAAGTACAAAACAGTATCAGTGCTGCTAAAGGTGGTACCAGTCTGAGAAAAAAAATTAGTATTTGGTAAGTAATATTTTTTAAATTTGCATTTGACCTGTTCATTTTCATTTCAAGTAGTACTATCTCTATCACCTGATTAAACGAGATAAGTATTCATCTTTGATGTCCAAATTGCCAGTCTTTTTCAGCTTTCCAATGAAAGAGTACGATGTTAAAAGTCCAGAAAGCATTATAAATGGATCAGTATAAAGACTAGCAGCTCTTCCTATAACTGTCCATGGTTTACCAAGGTACTAAAAAGGAAATAAATTACTTATTTTCTTCTAATTAAAAGCATTGAAATGTTTCTCCTTAAATATAGTGCATATCTCATACCTCACTCATTTCTGTTCTGTTCACATAAGGGTTAAAAAAGAGAGCTATGCTTTTATGAGCTAAAAGCAACATTGCAGCATTTAGAGCTCGCACACCGTGAAGCGTAGCTATATCATTTGGATTTCGTTGCAACGATATCAGCTTTTTGAAGTTACGTTTTAAAGAAAACGATAAAAGTAGCTCACTAGCAGGTATTTCATAATGCTCACAATATGCAGCTACAATTGTTAACGCAAACATAGCCATGAAGAAGAAACTGAAAAAGGTAATACAAGCACTGTAATTTCATACTATACAAATATTATTTTCTAATGAAAAATATTTTTATTCTCTTGTAATAAACTTTTTAATGTATGTACCTAACAAACATAGTTTCCTTTGGAACAGATTCGTTTCTTTTCACTTGGCACATTTCTTTGTTCACCTTCACTGTAACCCTAAGTCCAGTCTGTGAAGTGTACCTTGTGAGGATGTCGCGGAAAGATGTTTCAACATCTTTAGAGCTGCATGATGCTGGTGTACATACGGCCCAATTTGCTACAGTAAATCGAGGTACTCGATGTCCAGGCTGAAAAAAGGTAGAATAAAAAAATGTGTTAATCAAGGGAAATACTGTGTTATCTTTTAATATAAAATTTATCTGTTATCTATTAATATAAAAATAATTACTTTCAGAAATTTTAAGTTGCAGAATTTCATTTCTTAAAAATGTTCAAATTAACAAATTAAGCTTTCTAGATTAGATTTTCAGTTTTAGCCAGCTGCAAAAAGAAAAGCTTGCTCCACAGTTTCAGACCTGATTGATAACTTCGCGTAAAAACACGAGTATCGCGGTTAAAACAACGGAGATCCTAATTTGGTATTTTCGTCACATCGTGAAATACAAGGTGCGATTTCGATGCGAAACGTGTTACAAGTAACGACACGCGAATCACTTTCTCGAATTACGTTACGTTGTTTAAAAGTATACAATAATGATTGTAAAACTTGTACGAGAGTATTAAGAAATTCAGCCGCAACCATTCTGTCTCTCGCAGATTTCTCCGCGGCGTATCTCGATTTGCATAGATACCTGCATGAGAATTTGCGGATCGATTATGCATTC